CTTCAATTCCTCTTCTTTCAAGTGTATGCAATGGGCCATGTAGGTCTATAAGAAATTCATGCAATCTTTAAAATTTTTCACAATCCTTATTACATTGTAATTGTGACATCATAATTTTAGTATATACTATACTTTTTCATTGAGTAGCCCCATCTTGTCAAACACTTGTGTGCAATTTTGATGTGAAGGGTATTGATCGGAAGGGTAAAAGTTCATTGTGTAACCAACTTCACCAAGCTGTTCACACAAGTGACTCTATGTATTGCAATAAGAAATTATAAATGACTTAAAGTTTTTGATTTGATTACTTGTGTTTTAAGTCCTTTTTTCTTTGCCAACTCTGCTAGTTGTTTTAGTAGCTCATCTGTGCAAGTTGGTAGAAATCTTGGCGTTATAACAGCCTCAACTAATGGATTCTAAGCATATTCAGTCTATTATGAAATAATTATAAAATAAGTTCATTACTTTCATTCCTTCGACAAACTCAATAAATTTTTCAGTATCAGCTATAGAGCTACTAGTAGTTTCAATGTAATTATCAGGTGATTCCCTGTCCATATTCACTTTACCGACCAAAGCTCTTTGACCACATTGAGCTGAAAACATAATGTTAATTATACATAAGTGTATTTTGTACATTATGTAATGTGCATGTGTATAGTATACCTATAATTTTGCACAACTCAATGGCAGACTCAACATGAATAGTCGCAAAGTAGCTAGCTGTAGTTGTACCATTATTAATGGTCCGTTTCTATGATATATTATAATATTTGCATTGTATAAATACGACATGTATCAGGCTTACAACAACACTTTGGTACACTTTAGAAGCAAGTTGAACATCAGAAAATTTTGCTTCAGTAGGAAAAGTGCATTTATCCAACCAGTCCAGTAACTGCAGGTTATATCCAGTGCCAGTAAATTCATACTGTGGAGCATGTAAGTGAGTATCGACAAATCCAGGCATAAGGAATTGACTATAGAAGTGTATAGTAAAAAAGACTAACGGTTGCATATCTCTTACATTAGACCTCATTACCTTGTTTTCAGGTGATGTATGTCGCTCTCATTAAAGTCAAATTGCTTCATTAGTATATCTTTTTAGCTCCTTCATCAACAAACAATATCTATAGTATTGTTTGTAAGTTATGAGACAGCCCACGGTTTACCTGTCCATTGCTGTCTGTGCCAATTAGTCCATCCTCTAGTACTGTGACTGATTTCACTTCTAAGCAATGAACTATTCTTCCATGAAACACTTGTGGCTGCATACAATTGCTGTAGAGATTATTAGCATAGATACTGCAAACACTATTTGTAGGGCCTTACTTTATTTACCGCCGAAAATGCCCCGCCCTAGGCTACAAGTATATAGTAGTACTACATAGTTAGCTGTACGACATTACGCCCTTTTAGCCTGCAATTGCTTTGCTGGTTATAGGAAATGGATAGATCTCCTTCTTTTGAATCTTTCTTGGAGGCTGCTCCAACTATTTCCGAGCTTAAAAAACATGTAGCAGTTGATGATGAGAAATGGTTGGATCTTGGAGTGTTGCTGGAAGTTGAAAGCACCAAACTAAAGAATATTTCATCGGGCTCTGCCACGGACCTTGACAAAATAGGACAAATGTTTGAGATATGGTTGGATACTGCCCCTAAAGCAAACAGGAAACAATTACTTGCAAGCCTTAGGGAAAAAAGAATTGGGAAGAGCACCATTGCTGACAGATATGAAGACTATCTTAGGAAAATCCATGAGACTTCCAGTATGCTAAAGCTATCATTTTAGCTTATTTTT